ACCACAAAGCCGAGTGGAGAATTCAATGGCCACATGTAACAAAGAATACAGAAATTACAAAAGTAGGTAACAAAGGTCCTAACTAAGCAAATAACAATTACAAGCAGCAGCAGCAGCAACAACAACAACAACAACAAAAAACCTGGGGAAGGGGAGAATTTGATTTCCACAGTTGCCACTATGTATTACTTTAATATTCAGTTTTTGACAAAGTAGTATAAGCAAGCAAACAACAATTACAACAAGCAGCAGCAGCAACAACAAAATACCTGGGGAAGGGGAGAATTTGATTTCCAAAGTTGCCATTATGTATCACTTAAATATTCAGTTTTTGACAAAGTATTATAACTATGGCCCATACGGTGGGGGGAGATAAATAGGAAGTAGAAGCCCAGGTATTGAATTTACTAGACAAAGACTAAATCACCTATTTTAAACATTTCAAAAGACTAAAGGAAAGCATGAGAACAATGTCTCACCAAATAGTGACTATGAGAAAAGAGATAAATTATTTCTTAAAACCCACACAGAAATTCTGGAATTTCAAAGCACAAAAACCATTCCTTCCCTTTAATGACTGAAACAAAAAAAACATTTTTTAAAAACTGAAATGAAAACTTGCTAAACAGGTTAAGCAATAGATTTGAGCAGGTGGAAGAAATAATTAGTGAACTAGAAGATGGGTCAATTTAGATTATCCAGTCTGAGGAACAGAAATAAAAAACAATTAACAGACTCTGAGACCTGTGGGACATTATCACTCACACCAATAATGCATAATGGAAGTCCCAGATGGAGAAGAGAGCAATAAGGGGCAGAAAGAATACCTGAAGAAACAATGGCTGAAAACTTCCCAAACTCAATGAAAACCCATTAACCTTCACATCCAAGAAGCTCGACAAACTCCAAGTAGAATAAAGTCGGAGATCCACAACTAAGCACATCATAATCATATCGTTTAAAGCAGCAATAGAAGCAATTCATTACATTCAAGGGATCCTTACTAAGAAAAACAGCAGATTTTACATCAGAAAACAGGAAGCCAGAAAGCAGTGGGGTGACATACTCTAAGTACTAACAGAAAACACTTGTCAACCAAGAATTCTGTGTCTAGCAAAGACATTTTTCAAAAATGAAGGCAAATTAAGACATTCCCAGATAAACAAAAACTGAGAATCTATGACTAGCAGACCTTCCCTACAAAAAATACTAAAGGGATTTCTTCAGTGAAAATGACACTGAAATGAAGGGACAATAGACATCATTAAAATATGAAGAAAGAACACCATTAAAAATATGGCTGGGTGAGGTGGCTCACACCTGTAATCCTAGCACCCTGGGAAGTCGAGGTGGGAGGATCACTTGAGGCTAAGAGTTTCAGACCAGCCTGAGCAAGAGGGAGACCCCCATCTCTACTAAAAACGGAAAAAAAATAGCCAGACAACTAAAAATATATAGAAAAAATTAGCCAGGCATGGTAGCCCATGCCTGTAGTCCCACCTACTTGGGAGGCTGAGGCAGAAGGATTGTTTGAGCCCAGGAGTTTGAGGTTGCAGTGAGCCAGGCTGATGCCGAGGGGAGGGGAGGGGAGGGGAGGGAAGAAAGAAAAGCATCCTATAACAATTAAATGAGGAAATGACAGGCAGATATCAATGCTATATAACAAAACACGTTTATTTACAAAACAATAAAAATGACATTTCGAATAAGTGGGGAAAGGATTTAAATAATGTGGGTAAAAATGATTCTCACTTTCAATGAATCAAGATGCTTATGGACACATGAATTGAAAAATCAGACCTCATTTTCAACAAGAAAAATATCAAACCTCATCTTCAAGAATAATTAACAGGGGTAAAGATCTGAACAATCCTTGATCTCTCCAAGAATAAACTAGTATACTGCAAAGAAATTCTTCCATAGCCATAGTAACATATGGCCACCAGAACTAGTTTAAAATTGCCTAATCAATACCTGACAGCTCTATAGCCACAGAACAAGAATCAACTTTAAATCCACTTAAAAAAATAGCTTGCCTCAGTAACCATGTTTTTGCAAATCAACCTATCATTCATAGCACCTTGTTTCTGAAAGCTAGCCAACTGGGAACACACTCCCTTCAATGAACATATACTACTCTGAATGCCGACCAATCAATAACTGTCTCACCCAAGTAACCATGCTTCCACAACTGATGCCAATCTATGATGCCTGTAATCCATCAATCTCTGAATTTCATGTGTCTTTAAAAAAAAAAAAAATCCACCAATCCCTGAACTTCATGCTTCTCAAAGACCCCATGTAAGATCAGCAGTCTGGGTCTACTTAGAGAGACCAACTGACCAGCAAAGCTCTCTCTACTTAAGTAGCAAATTCAGCATTGCTTTTCAAATGTTAAGTAGTGGTCTTACCCCCTGACACTCCATAGCCTTTATAAAAGATGTGCTAGACCAATACATGCCAGCACAAATATATCCAAGACATGTTAAGTGAAAACGGCAAAGCAGTATGTAGGTTGTTGCTGTTTAGAAATAATTATAGGCTGGGCATGGTGGCTCATGCCTCTAATCCCAGAACTTTGGGAGGCTGAGGCAGGAGGATCACTTAAGCACAGGAATTGGAGTCTGCAGTGAGCTGTGACTGTACCACCGCACTCCAGCCTAGAAACAGAGTGAGACTTTGTCTTTCAAAAATAAAAAAATAAAAATAATTATATATAGGCCGGGCGCAGTGGCTCACTCCTGTAATCCTAGCTCTCTGGGAGGCCGAGGCGGGCGGATTGTTTGAGCTCAGGAGTTCGAAACCAGCCTGAGCAAGAGCGAGACCCC